CAACGCCTGAGCCTGCGCGTCTGGAGCCTGTGCTCCGCAACAACAGAGGCCGCGACAGTGAGAGGCCCGCGCACCGCGATGAAAAGTGGCCCCCTGCTTGCCACAACTAGAGAAAGCCCTCGCACAGAAACGAAGACCCAACACAGCCAAAAATAAATAAATAAATAAATAAATAAACAAATGTGGGGTTTAAAAAAAAAAAAGAATCTGCCTACCAATGCAGGGGACACAGGTTCGAGCCCTGGTCCAGGAAGATCCCCCATGCCACTGAGCAACTAAGCCCATGCACCACAACTACTAAGCCTTCACTCTAGAGCCCGAGAGCCACAACTACTGAAACCCGTGTGCCACAACTACTGAAGCCTGCGCACCTAGAGCCCATGCTCCACAACAAGAGAAGCCCACGCACTGCAACGAAGCCTGCGCACAGCAATGAATACCCAACACAGCCAAAAATAAAATAAGTAAATTTATTTTTAAAAAATGGAATAGGGAATTCCCTGACGCTCCAGTGGTTAGGGTCTCCTTGCTTTCACTGCCAAGGGCCCGGGTTCAATTCCTGTTTGGGAAACTAAGATCCCATAAGCCAAGCCATGTGGTGTAGGCAAAAAAATAAAATGTAAACCAGTGGAATGGAAGCGTTTGGTGGTTTCTTATAAAACTAATCATACTCGTGCCGTATGATCCAGCAATCATTCTCCTTGGTATTAACCAAATGAGTTGAAAACTTATATTCATATAAAAACCTGCACAGAAATATTTACAGCAGGTTAATTCATAATTGCTAGAATTTGCAAGCAACCAAGATGTCCTTCAGTAGGTGAATGGATACTAAATCATGGTACATCCAGACAATGGAATATTATTCAATGCTAAAAAGAAATGAGGTCTTAAGCCATGAAGAGGACATGGAGAAACCTTACTGAAATACTAAGTGAAAAGCCAGTCTGAATAAGCTACTTACTGTATGATTCCAGCAATGTGACATTCTGGAAAAAGGCAAAACTATGGACACTGTCAATGAATCAATAGTTGCCATGGAATAGGGAGGAGGGAAGGAGGAATAGGCGAGTACAGTAATTTTTAGGGCAGTGAAAATGATTCTGAATGATACTGTAATAGTAGATACATGTCATTATACATTTCTCCAAACCCACAGAATGTGCAACACTAAGAGTGAACCCTAATGTAAACCATCGACTGTGGGTGATTATGATGTGTCATTGCAGGTTCATCAGTTGTGACAAATGTTCCACTCTGGTGCAGGCTGTTGATAATAGGGGTTGCTGTGCTTAGTAGGGGAGTTGCAGGGGGTTCCAGGCAGGGTGTATATGAGAACTCTGTCCACTTGATTTTGCTATGAACAAAAACTGCTCTAAATAAGTCTTTTTTGTTTTGTTTTGTTTTTTTAAGATAACAGATAACTCACAGAATCAGAAAAAGTGTTTGCAAGTCATATATCTGATAGGGCTCTAGTATGCACAATATATAAAGAATTCTTACAACTCAACAACAAAATGACAGCAATGCAATTTTTTAAAGTAGGCAAAGATTCTGAACAGGCATTTCTCCAAAGAAGATGTAGACGAATGGCCAAAAAATGATGCTCAGCATCATTAGTCATTAGGGAACTGCAAATCAAAACCACAAGATGTCTCTCACCCACTAGGATGGCAGTAATTTTTTTACAAATAAAAACAACAAAATAAGTGTTTGCATTGAGGATGGGTAGAAATTGGAACCTTCATACATTGCTTGTGGGAATGTGAAATAGTGTAGCCACTGTGGGAAATAGTTTGGCAGTTCCTCAGAATGTTACCATATCACTACTTCTAGGTATATGTCCAAGGGGAATTGAAAACATGTTCACACAGAATCTTGTATATGAATGTTCATAGCAATATTGTTCATAACAGCTAAAAAGTAGAAACAATCCAAATGTCCATCAGTTGATGAACAGATTAAGAAAAGGTGGTCTATCCATAGAATGTTAAAATGAAGTACTGAGACGTGCTACACCATGAATGAACCGTGGAAACAGTGTGCTAAGTGAAAGAAGATTGACTCCAAAGAGCACATTCTGTATGATTCCATTTGTATGAAGTGTCCAGAATAGGCAGAACCATAGGGGCAGAAAGTAGATACGTGGTTGCCAGGTGCTGGGGTAGGAGAGGGTGGGTGTGACTGCTCGTTGGTCCAGGGTTTCTTCTGTGGGTTGTGAAAATGTTCTGGAATTAGTGGTGATGAATAACATTGTGCCTCTACGAAAATCCACTGAACCGTACACTTTAAAGGGTGAATTTTAGGGCTACCATCACCTGGCTGTGAGGAGAGCCTGTAGGTGCTCCAGCACAGGATCGGGGGCGCTGCACCCACTGACCACCAGGCCCTGCCATATCTTTCCAGGGGCCAGATCTGCCACGGCATGAGCACAGCAATGTGCTTTGGGGGTCACAGTGGCATGGTCCTCACAGGAGACCCCTGGGACCAGGGCTTGACCCCCGAGCAAGCCCCTCAGAGCCTCAGTTTTGTCAATACTAGAATAGCACAGCCTTGCTTCAGAATTGTCTCAAGATGCTTCTTTACCAGAGGGAAATCAAGTCATAAAAACAGATCAAGACGGGGAGGGAGCAAGGAACCACCAGACAGAAGATGCTCGAGCGTAGACTCTTGCCAGAGCCACTCGGCAAAGTGGCATCTGCACAGGAAGTGTCTACTTTTGAGGACATCTACACATCCCACCAACTCCAGTGAGTGAAGCCCCTCTGAGGAAGGCAAAGCTTGTTGAGAGCCTAGGAATCCCCGAATCTGAACTTGGCGCTTCAGCAGTCACATCAGCTCAGAAACTGGACATGGGTGCACACTACCCTGATTTGCTCGTCAGAATGACTGTCAGAAGCCTAATCTTTCACCTTCCAACTACCGATCCGACATCCTTAACCTAACGTAGCTATTGCTGTTGTTAAGAAGCAAAGTAACAGTTGTTTGTTGGAAATCCCTGTGAAAAATTTTATCCATGCTATTATTTATGTATTTTTTCCACAAGCATGTTCTTTGCTGAATTGGAATTGAACCAAACTGAACCTCAATTAAGATTTTCAAAAAGCTGGGAAGAAACTAAAGCACAATGCTGAAAAGTTTATTGCTGTGCTGTTCAATCACTCCTTAACTTATCTGAAAAAGGTTTAAAGCACAGAAACTTTATAATAATTTGCTCTTTTGTAATAAAGGTACTGTGCTGTCTGAAAATAAGTTTCTACTAAGAGTGGTGGCCTGAAGGTTGAAGCTATTATCTTCTACATAGTACCAAAAACTAAGAGTGAACAAACAGATTGAGCACACTCATAAAAATAAATAATAGGGTGGCTTCCCTGGTGGCGCAGTGGTTGAAAGTCCGCCTGCCGATGCAGGGGACACGGGTTCGTGCCCCAGTCCAGGAAGATCCCACATGCCACGGAGCGGCTGGGCCCATGAGCCATGGCCGCTGAGCCTGCGCGGCCGGAGCCTGTGCTCCGTAACGGGAGAGGCCACAACAGTGAGAGGCCTGCACACTGCAAAATAAATGAATGAATGAATGAATAAGTTGGTGAACTTTATGATATGTGAACCAGGGCTCCTTGAAGACTGGCTACAGGTCTAGGGCAGGAAATGCACGAGTATAGACTGTCTTGTGCCAGAAAGTGATGAGCTCTCAAGAGGCAACCAGGGTCATGTTGGAGAGATGCAGGAACCAATTTGAAGAGACTCTCAACTGCCATAGATGAGACAGTCTGAGCATCAAAAGGAATAATAACTGCAGTAGATTGAAGCACATGAGATATGTTTCAGTCCAATAGTTCATAATGAATGAGTTCACAACTCTGACTGTATTTGGACGATAATAGGGAAACAATTCATTGTTTTGTAAACTGGTAAATAAAGGGAAAGAACTAAGCATACACTTTTCCTGTGCAAACGGTACGTCAGGGTTACCAAAGCATGGGTGAGCATGAAGTTTTCTTTAGATGGAAGAATTCTCCCAGAAGAATGATAGACTGTCACCATGTACAATCCTAAAGAGCTAATAAATATATTCAGTGTTTATCAGTGGCTGGCTGCTAATACACAAAAAGGGTGACAGCTGGGTATCATGTCCCTCGTGATGGACACCTAAAAGTCTATCAAAAAACCCGGAACACCTAAATCTGATCATACCTCTGTGTTTAATTACCAGTCCATAGGAAATACCTGTAGTATTTTCCATATGTTTGGGTCAGAGGAGCATGTTGAATGACATCAGTGGGATGTAATCAAGAAAATCTAGACTGGGGAAGCCACAGACTAAATGACCTGATTTCTTACACAAAAATTTACAAAATAAAAAGGCAAAATAGGACACTACTAACATAAATTGGGACAGTATTGATCAGACTTAGAGGTTCCAGGGACTTTGTGTTGTTTGAGAGAAGGGTTTATAAGTTAAATATGCTCATTAAAATTCTTGCCAACCACTAAAAGAACAGAATATGTATAAATTTCAAGCCAGGAGAGGAGAATAAAAAAAGAGAGCAGTCAGTTAAGCAAAAGAAACATTGAAAAAGTAGGACAAGAAGAAGCTGTAAACTAAGATAATCGGTATAAATCCAGTTATATCCCTCCAAGTAAGTATAACTGGACCAAATCTCGCAAAGTTGAAGATTGCTGCCCAGGAAAAGAAGATCCAGTACTCATTGTTCTCATGAGGCACATCTAGGACTCATCTTTTACTCTTGGAAAGTAAAAGAATGGAAAACAGAGAGTTGGGAAACCAATCTTGTCTCTCTTAAGAGACCATGAAGAATTTATTTTTTTCTCTTTTCAGGTTAAAGAAAAAGGAGTTTAGTTTAGAAGAAATATATACCAACAAGAATTATAAATCTCCTCCTGCAAACAGGTAAGTACCTATGAGCAGGAAATGATCGATGTAAATCTCCAGTCCTTGTGCTTTGGAAGGGGTTTTATGTTCAGTTCTTCCATAACCGGGGTCTTGAAAATAACTAGAATTGGTATTTTTAGTTCCCAGCACTTGAATTGGGGTCGGTGGTAGGTGGTAGGATGGGAAAGAGATGTGTGTCAGGTTAGGTTAGTCTCCTTTTCGTTTGTACTTGATTTTTAGCAAATATGCTGGCTGTCTTCAGGACTAATAAGCACTGATCTTCAGATATGACTCCAAACCCAAGTACAGAAGGCATTTCACTTGGCTACCTTTGCGTCTAAATTCAGTTCAAATCGTTGAACATTTATTAAATTCCTGTAGCATCTAGGATGTAGCAGGAGAGTTTTATCCTAGAAGATAAAACTCTGAGGCATTGATATAAGACTATTCATTACAGCATTGTTAAATAATAGGAAAGGATTGGAAACAACTTAAAATATCCATTAATAGGGTTCTTATTAAATTATAGTCCATCCTTGTAATGGGATACACTGCATAGCCATTTAAAAGAATGAATCAGATACTGTGTACCCAGCTGGGGCAATCTTAAACGTTATCGATAGGTCAGAGTGGCACAATGCATAGTCCGGTGCATGTAGTTTGCTGCCATTTGAGTAAAGGAGAAACCAAAGTGTTGGATAGATGCTGTGGGTCAGCAAACTACAGGCCAGGTCCAACCAGCAACCCGTTTTCTTTCTTTCTTTTTTTCCAGCCCTGTGAGCTAAGAATGGTTTTTATTCTTTTAAAGCGTTGTTTAAAAAACAAAAAAGAATATATAGCAGAGACTTGTGTGCCTCGTTAATTTTAAGATGTTTACTACCTGGCCCTTTACACAAAAGGGCTGACCTCTGGTGATACATGCTTACCTATGCACATTTGTACGTTGAGTGACTTCGGGAGGATACACAAAACACTGTTGATGCTGTTGCCGGGGTGCGGAGTGGGGGGTTCATCTTACTTTTATGCTTTACCCTCCTGTCCAGTTTAAATTTCTTCACTATGTGCTTGTACTACATATTCATAGATATATGTGTTTTGTCATCAAAAAATAGCTGCAGACTAGAGGAAAGAGCTGTCAGGAGCAGTTAGCCTTTAGCGCCCATTGACTGGGAGGGTTGGTGGCCCCCAGGGTGAGCATGTTGGTGATTCTGTTTTGTGCTCCACCCTTAGGTGTTTAGAGACTATCTTTGAGGAACCTAAGGAACGGAATGGTATGCTCATCTCAATCAGCCAACAGAAGAGGAAGCGAGTTCTGGAGTTTCAGGATTTCACAGTCCCACGAAAGAGGAGGGCTCGCGGTAAGGTCAAGGTGGCAGGCAGCTTTACCCGGGCCCAGAAGGCGGCGCTGCAGAGTCAAGAGCTGGATGCTCTGTTGATACAGAAACTGATGGAACTGGAGACCTTCTTTGCCAAGGAAGAGGAGGAGCAGGAGCGGTCGTCTGGTTGTTGAGAAGCGATTCAGGTGGGGGGGTCTCAACTTTAGACTTTCCCGGCCTCCTTGGAAGAGGTTGCCTAATTTTGCCCTACTGCCCAAACCACTCAAAATGCAGACTATGGATTTTTACCTATTTCAAGGTGCAGCCTTTTTAGGAACTGGTGGAAGAGGGTCCTCTAACTTGTACTGCTGAGTATAGAACCTCAGGAACGCTCCCTTTCTCCTGGAAATGGTCCTGAATGATGTCAGCCTCCTCCCCACACTCTCTGCCATCCACGGAGGAGGACACCACATACCTTCAGTAACACTAGGTTTCCAAGGACTCACAGCATTTGCACGTCCATGTGAAAGTTCCGCGTTGTTTACGGTGGTGCTAGACCAAGGTTATTTAGACACATGGCCTAGGGAGGGGGACCTGGCGTCCTGTCCCGTGTGGTCTCACCGGCTCATTTCAGTAGTTGAGGAAAGATGAGCTGCTGTGTTTTCTAATCCTTTGAGCCCATCTGTCCAGAACCAGGTTGTGTGTGTGTGTGTGTGAGTGTGTGTATGGCTTTTCCCCATCATTTTCTCCCCTCTGTGACTGTGGGTCACTAGTGCCAGAGGAGCCCGTCCAGGCCCCATTCGAAGTAAGTTGCACTTTTTAATGTGGTAGTGTGGATTATTTTCGTTTGTTTTATTTCCCTTTTTTTGTTTTAATTATTGCTGCATGTTTGGAGCCTTTAAATGTGATTTTAAAGCAGTTTTTTAAGACATCAAGGAGAAAAACAGTACACGTCTTCAGAACACAAGACAGGCATTTGACCTGGTTTGTTGGTGCGTGGTGTGGGGCGGCTGAGAGCCGTTTTCCCGTTGACGTGTTCAAGCAGCCCTTTCCGCGCCTCCAGCTCCTAGTGCGACTCATTTCTCATCTGGGTTCTCATTCTTGCTTAAGTAGTTGTATTTATTCTAATGACGGAAGTAAGAGCAGGTCTCTCCCCCAGTCATTTAAAAAGTTGGAAGCTTGGGTGTGGTCTTAGTGGGTTTCATCTGAAGTGGTGGTCCATGACAGAGGCATCCACGATGGCTCAGGTGGTAATGAAGCCAACCCAGAGTGTTTGCAGCTGCCAGAGCAGCCCGCTCCATAGTGGGGAGGAGGACAGTCTGAGGTCACGAAGTTCCATGACCAGCCCTCTTGGAGGGCAGCTCACTGTACTCTGGGCTCCTGCATCAGACCTACTGGAAGTTTGGTAGAGTGCCAGACAAAGATCTCTGGGTTTCTCCATTTCTGCCTGCAGCAGTCTGTGGGCAGAGAACCAGAAGCGTGCTGTGTGAGGCCACAAACCCGGAGGTTTCATTCCTTTCCCACTTAAGGCCTGTGTGCCCTTGCCTTGCTTCCCCTCCTCCCCTTCCTTTGTGTTTTATCTTTTCTCTCTCTCTCTCTCTCTCTCTCTCTCTCTCTCTCTCAAAACAAGAGTGCAGAGAATTAACATTCCTTGGCTGGTGAGTGGGATGCTAAGCCCAGCCTCAGGACACTGGTCACCTCTCCCATCCTCCCAGGAGCCACTGCCGTGGAGCAGCGCCAATGGGAACTGTCAGAGCTCCAGAGACATTTTCGAGTCAGTCTGTGAGAGGAGTGAGTGGTGCCGTCCTGGATCATGTCTCCTGGGTCCCTTTGGTTTCCCCGTCTGTCAGGGGATGGGAGGGTGGGGTGGGGTGGGGTTTCTATGTGCCTTTCCTTTGCAGGTTGACAGTCTGTGCCACACTGGAGCAGAAAAACTGACAGTGCGAGAAAAACGAAGTGCCACGTCTGTCTTGTAGGCCCAATGCCTCAGACAGAGCATTTAGTAAGTGAAATACACACCTGGTGATCCATGGAGGCTTCTAAGGCCACAGCCACGTAGCATTAGAGGGGAGCCTGGCTTCCACACCAGCTCTGAACAGTGCAAACCAGATGCTGCCATTGTGCATTCGCTTTGCCCAGACTGTGTAGACACGACCTGTGTTTCCCCTCAATACCTCTCCCTTCCTGGGACAGGGTCCTTAGACACAAATGCTTCTCTCTGTCTTTTTGCTTAAGGGAGTGAGAGGAGTTTGTGCCCTTATACAAACGTTTTTAGGAAGCTCCTGCTGCACAGCTTGCAAACTCCCAGCAAATCTACAGAGCCCTGTTTGCCAGCTCCATTGCCAGTGTAGATGGGTCTGCAACGTGGCAAGCGTGGCAGACTGAAGTTGACATGGGTGCAGCTGTGGCATTACGGAGATACAATTTCAAGTTTGCCCGTTGCAGGAGTGGCACTTGTGACAAGACCAGGAGCAATGATTTGGAACATTGGCGTTTGGAATGGGGGCTTGGAGGAAGTGGAGACCTGGGTTCCTTCCTTGTCCTGGGAACATAGGAGAAAGCTCCACTGAGGCCAACCTTCTCCTTGTAATTCTTGGCTTGCATCTGGCCAAGGCCCTTCCTCATTCCAAAGTTAAGAAGGGGCCCCCACTGCAAACTTGAAATTGCTTACCTGAAGTTGCCACATCGGGTTCGAGCCGTGCTCAGCCACACCTGTCTTAACATCCATTTTTACCATTGGCCTAGCCAGCTGCAGTGCTGTCTGTGGTCCTCGGAGCCAGCCACCTGCCCATAGCTACAGGAGTTCTGGTTCTGGGGTGGGAGTTGGTACAGTTTCTGAGTATGGGGACTTACCACCCAAAGACACTTAGTGTTTTTAATATGGGAAAGAGAGGAGAAATCTCAGGTCCAATCAGGGTTCTGCACATCAGCTTTTCACTGAAACTTTCAACTATAGTGTTTTCCATCTGTCAGTTTATAGCTATATTTGCCCCCCCCACCTTCCCCCTCCTCTTTTCTTTTGGTTTCCTTTCCAGCTTCATTTCTCTGTTTTAAATGTACCTCATCACCTGTTCAAGCAGATTATGTCCACTTTTTTTTACTGACCTTATTCTAAGAGCTACAGCTGAGGGAGGTACAGTGGAGAGACATACAGCGTTTGCCTTACTCGGCGCCTGAAGAGCTCAGAAACTCATGCTATGAATCCTGAAAGCGCTCCTCCAAGAGCTGTGAAAAACATGACGCTTTGTCACAGTTTTGCCTGAAAGGGTCTTTTGCGCGAGTGCCAGAGCCAACCTGAGGTAGATTCCAGATCCCACCCTCTGGGCATGATCCTACCTCTGTGGCTGGTTCCCTGTCCGCCAGGCTAAGGGCTGCACAGAGTGCAGGACTGGGGCTGCCGGTCCAAGGCTTGGTGCGGCCTGATGGAACGCAGAGCCAGTGCTCCGTCTCCAGGCTGGGATTTCATCTCATAATCAATGTACATCAAGATCCGCGAAAGATGAGCTTTTAGACGGTGGTACTTTTCTCCCATTCCGTGGGGGCAGAGTATGCAGTTGGCGCTTTCTTTAATTCCCTTGTGTTTTGTTTCTGTAAGCTTCCCCCACCCCGGTATCATGGAAAGGACCTCTGAAACACCACATCGTGGGTGGCTGTATCCAAAGTCTTTAAGTAGTTGGCCAGAGGTGCGGAGTATCCTTTCCTGGATTCATGCAAGGGAAGGGCTCCTTGCCACGACTGAACTTCCTGTATAAAAAGCTGGCCGGGAAGAAGGCTTAATTTACTGAAATCAAAGTTTAGTACTATCATCTAGCCACAAATTGATCAGCAAAGGCTATTTATTTTTATTGTGAAGTGAGGGTCCCCGCATAGCCTGCCATCTAGCACAGCACTCTCTCAGATTGGATGCTTGTTCATTGTGTGTCTCCACGAGCCCCTCTCTGGTGCTGAATTGGATTTTAATTCTTGGCAAGAGGCCTCAGCATCATCTCCTTGGGCTGGTCTAGGCCAGTAAATAGCTGCCTGAAGTGTTTGTATATTATCATGGTCAATAGTTCAGTGAAATTTGTACATTTTTGGTAACATTGGCATACATGATGCCCCTGCAGTTCCTTTTCTGTTTGGTAGTTTGTGACTCTAAAATTCCCACTGTTATGTGTGTTAATTTATGAAAATAAAAAGGATTTTTGGGGGGAAAACCTTTCAAATAACTCTCAAGGCTGTTATTTTATTCTTATGGCTTCATAGTAAGTTAAAATTCTACCTGTAATACCGTGAGGTTGCTGTTGTTGGTTTTTAATAAAACATTCCAAAGTTATATATATCACACAAGCATTTTCTCTTCCAAAGCGGTCACCATTTTCTGAGGACGGCGCTGTCTCAGAACATGTGTAGCGCTCCACCTCTGGGTGGCCTTCCAAGACTGTCGTGGAGCTTTTAAAATTTACTCAGGTGGCAGATCATCTCTGTGAGGCACTTTGGTATTTGGAAACGCCAAGACTCACTCAAATGAGTCACACCCAATTAAGTTGGGTAGGGATGCCGAGCCAGTATTCTAGGTGTGATTTTTGAATAGTGTTTATTTTCTCACATGGCTGAGAAATGAAAAAGCAATAATAAATTCAGGTCAATGGGGCTTTCCTGGTGGCGCAGTGGTTAAGAATCCACCTGCCAATGCAGGGGACACGGGTTCGAGCCCTAGTCCGGGAAGATCCCACATGCCGTGGAGCAACTGGGCCCGTGTGCCACAACTACTGAACCTGCGGTCTAGAGCCCGCGAGCCACAACTACTGAGCCCGTGAGCCACAGCTACTGAAGCCCACACTCCTAGAGCCTGTGCTCCACAACAAGAGAAGCCACCACAATGAGAAGCCCGCGCACTGAAACAGAGTAGCCCCTGCTCACCACAACTAGAGAAAGCCTGTGCTCGGCAACAGACCTAACGCAGCCAAAAATAAATAATTTAAGAAAAATTCAGGTCAAAATGTCAAATATTAGCAACATATCTGGAATAAGAGCTTAGCTTGCTAAGGAGGCTACTTGGGAGAGTATAAATATGGTGGAGTACATTCATTTACTTTTTTTTTTTTTTTTGGGTAAGAACATTAAAGTTTTACTCAGGAAATTTCAATTATACGATACGTTGTCTGTCATCAACTATAGTCACTTTTTTTTTTTTTTTTTTTTTTTGCGATAC